GGGTACTCTTATATCCACTACAAAAGGGCGTGCATCATTTGTTATTTATGCGCATTAAGTCATTGTATCAAGGGGACCTAAACAGGAAAATGAGACAAATATTGAGAAGAAATGGGAAGAGGATGGCTGATTGGAAGAAATGTAAAAATGGAGGAACAGAGAAAGGGACAAGAACTAACCGAGAGTGCGAAATATAGGAAGAAAGCACGGTTAAACTAAGATCCCAATTTTCATCGTCCTGCAATCAAGTTAAAGTTCCCCATCTAATTTGGAAGGCGTCGATATGGCAATCTGATATTCTGCCATACAGTAAAAAACATGAGGGATAATAGCTTCATTAATAAGGAGATTTCTGTCATACATAGCAACCAATTAGCAATGCTCTGTACTGGCTTCAGTTAGAAGTATTTTTCGACTTGCATGTTAAGTAGAAAGCTTCAGTCTAATAGGAAACGAAAGAGTCGACTGAGAGAGACTGAAGAGCTTTTAAATAGTGGTCAAATGGACAACAAATTACGTGGGGGCAACCAGTATGTACATTTATCGCGAGAGCCAGCCTCTAAGCAGAGAGCTTTTAGTGGCACCTTTGGGGTAATACATGAAGGGCTAACACTTAGAATTGAAACGACCTTGGCAACGAGAGAATCGCGGAAGCATCTGCGATAACAATATGAAAGTACACAAGCCTTTGATAATAAATACCAAATGCTATCTAGGATCCCAATACAAAGACCCCGCAAAATTCTAGCGGGCGTCATTATCTGAATAATTAGCAACGATTCAGCATTGCCGGGATAAAAGAGTTTAAGTGAAATTGCTGCAGCCCAAAAAGGGGATGCGATTTTGAGCATGATAAACTTTGTCTGCCAGGCTATCATAGAAAAAAAAACAAGAGGATAAAGTTTGAAAGTATAATCGCAAAAATATTAATACAAATAAAGATAAAATAAGCAGAGCTCAGGGTACATAAGATATAAAAAGTTAAATCAATTGTCAATATCTTAATCTGAGAAAAAGTACGCTTAGTAGGCAATAAACTACTAAGTTGGGATGAACAATAAAAAGTTTTTTAGAGTATTTAAAAACTAGTAGATAACTATGGATATGTAGAGGGAAGTGGCGCATCGCCGGACATAAACGAAACCTCTGACGAATATGAAGAAGAGTGGGTAATTTGGTTAGACAACTTTGTGCTCACTCGTAGGGTGGTGAGCAAATTCGTAGTCCAGATGAACAAAGGCACGCTCCACATTTTCCAGACGCTCGATTTTTTTCTGAAGAGTTTCTCCAATATCGTGCGCTTCTCGTAGAACCATGTCCTTAGGCAAAACAATGTCGACCTGATAGAAGGGATGGATGGATCCAAATATGCTGGAATAAGCACCTAATTTTCAGACTATACGTGTCAGAGTATCAAATGAATAAGGACTGCTAAAACCTGTTCAAGGTTTAGCTAATTATCTTTCTTGATCTATTTATCGACGTCTTCTTGACCTAGTGTTAACGTGAAAGAATGAGTTACAGCTCTAATGATGTTTCTTAGCATAAAATTACTCGTAAAAACGAGTAATCAAGTAGATATTAGATTTTTCCTTAACAGAAATTGAAAGTTTGTTGAGCTGAACTATATCTGTAGAGACCATAAGTCACAAGAACAGTCCTCATCAAAATAGACTGAATGGATAAGAATATAGAGATTTACTAAGGCTTGGCCAAAAATATGGTAGGGATCCTCAGTTTCCTAAAAAGGAGCTACATATAACTAACTGAGTAAAAGAGTTTAGTAAACTATACGAACTGGGTTTTGATGAATCATTAGAGAGACTTTCATTTCGTATGAAAGTGCATGAAGAAGAGATTTGTAGGTTGATCTAACCAGAAGAGGACGGATGAATCCCGTATTGACGTCACCGTTTGGTCTTAATACGACGTTCAGGTTGACACAGTCCACGAGAACTCCTTAATCGTTTGGGTAAAAACGGGCTGAGCCTTCATTCATCATATGATGGACATCATCAGAGCTGGAACTCATTCTTGTAAAAGTCTCACGTTAACACTAAAGCAAGAAGACTATCCGGCATTATTTTACCTCTTATATAGAATAAATTAAGCAAAATAAAATTAAAAGGCCTACATAGATGTAGAATGGTTTGACTAATTATCTTTTTTGATCTATTTATTGACGTCTTCTTGACCTAGTGCTAACGTGAGAGAATGAGCTTAAGCTCCAATTATGTCCATCATATGATGGGCAAAAGCTCAGCCCATTTTTACCTGAAACGAGGGAGGTCTCGTCATACACCTCCATATGGAATGAAATTCGACTCAACAATGTTATCTCGGAAGAATCATCGAAACCCAGTTACTCTTCGTATCTACAATGTACGTACGATTTAAGTTCTTGTCAATTGTCTTCTCGCAAAAATATAACCAAGAAAATCATACCCCGGCAAATTAATAAATTGATATTTTTTTAAATATGTATTTCTCATAATGCTGTTCCTAGGTGTTATTTACTTGGTAGACGTTTTAATCTACCAACGTAGACTAAAAAGGAACTTGATCAGGTACCCTGTGATTTGCTTAAAACAAGGCTCAATAAAACCATTAACAGACTAAATAAACTAATTAGGACCAAAACCAGGCTTAGGCATTTTATTAAGTTACAAAATAAGGCTGACGGCTTGGGAGAGGCCACGGGAAAAACAAATTGGAGGATAAATGATAAGAAGCTCTGGAACTTGGGAATTAGAATAAGATCGAGAAATTTTGCGCCTAATTAAGTCGTAGTAACCATGTTTGTAACAAACTGGGGAAGGAAAAGTTAACCAATTTATCCAGTATAACTCTAGAGGAGAGTGTAGAACATTTATTGGAGAGAAGTGAATTTTGCTTTTCAAAATGAGGTAAACCTGGAAATACTTGTTGGATTAATTAGGGCAGGAGAGATACCACAACTGTTAACACACATTTGATCACTTGTCTCTTGACGAGTTTTAGTGTGAGGCTAAGAATGGCAAAGCTCGCTGACGATGCCGACTATGATGCCGGCAAAACGTCTGGGAATGTACCACGTCCACGGTCCGACTTTGGAAGTGATCATGCATACAATGGACACTGAACCAGGTGCGTTCCTCTAAGTCTTCCTACCAATATGAACAAATTGCGAAAATAAGGTCAAACGACCTCTATACAACAAAAGGAGACTGCGACCACACAAAAGGCCACACAATCTTGGTCTTCATACCTTCGAATAACTACTTATGCTTGATTGAAAGATTGAGGGAAATAGAGGAAGTTGAGACGCCATCCTAAAAGAAGGCGACTTAACTTGTCTGCTCGGCGATGGTTCTAACTTCATTATTACTCCTCCAACATGTTAGATTGAACTCATAAACCAAACCAGACGTACCAAATTACGCAGCCCTAGTCATGACTTTCCTTGGGTGATTAAACTTTAGTGACCCTAGACTGATGGAGTATAAAAGGTGGTTTCGTAACCTGATTAACATGTTTACAAGCTTAGATCTCATTATTTCAATCATACTTGCTTACAGACTCACATTCTCGGACAGGGATTTTACTTGGGTCATTAAGCTTTGATGACCACAGCCGGAAATCAGCTTTTATTTGAACACTCCGATTTAAGATCGGTATTGCGTATACACAAACTCTAACAAAAGTAGCAGCACCAACGCGTAAGTGAATCAGCCAAACCATTTAATATTTATTTTTGCCCTTTAGTTGTCTATATACGAGGTAGGATAGAGCCGGATAGTCTTCTTGTCCTAGTGCTAACGTGAGACTTTTTAATAATGCTTTCCAGATCTGATGATGTTTATCATATGATGGACAAAAGCTTAGCTCGTTTTGCCCTAACCGAGGGAGCAGGTCTTGTGGACTGCGTCAACCTGAACGTTGTATTAAAGCCAAACGGCTGCAGCACAACGGGATTCAGCCGTCCTCTACTGGTGAGATCGACCCTCAAATCTCTTCTTCATGCACTTTCATATAAAATAAAAGTCTCCCCAACAATGTAGCAAAATAGACGAAACAAGCACCTCATATTGATAGCAAGTAGGAAGCCAGAAGCAGAATTTTGAGTCAGAGTGAAGAATACAGATATATAAGTAATTATTTGGGCACAGAGGCATATAGAAATGCACACAAACTATTGATGCGGTCAAAACGTTCATCTCGTTTTAAAAGATGAGTAGAAGAGATTTGAAAATTGCCCCACAGGATACCGAATGTCTTGCGACTGATGGATTGTCCGAAGAAGACCTCGACTTACCTTACTGCGACCACGATTAGTCGGCGCAGAGCTTTAATTCTTCATGTGGCGGACAGTGTCAGAGCCAAAAAATATCATTTATGAACAATCATCAAAGCACATTAAACCAAGAATGTTGGTTTGCTGAAATTATATTTACTTCTAATAACTATCTTTGCGATTTTAATAAAACATCCCAATAAATGTTTCGCTAATTTGTGCTTGCCCTACATACATGAAGAAGTAAATTGATATATGGAAGGGGAGCGAATATGATCACAGCTTTTCAATCAATCCAATCCAGTAGCCAGATATACTTCTGGCTTAATTTTCTACACTCATTCCTCTTATTCAGGATATTCTTTCTTGTTAATTTCAATAGGCTCCCGGCAAAACGTTAAATTTTATACCATTCTAGCTTGTACACTGTAGTGATCATAGGTTTAGCCACCTTCGATTTCTGAACCCATAAGCCTCCGTATTTAGTTTTGTGATCTGATTACCTCTTATCGCATTCTTATAGCGAAATAGGGCGAATGCATTTCATATATAATCATCCAGACATCTTACAGATAGTTTCGGAACTAGGAGTAATTCTTGAAAAAGCCGGACCTCTAAGTGAGCCCTGTAGTTATTAGCTAAAGCTGAGGACAAACGAGATCACATAGCTAAACCTCTACTTTGCTCATATAATTTACTAATAAAGGTAAAATAGGTAGTATTCATTATTAAGTTCGCCAATCTCACAATTTACTCCTTGCTTTCCTTACTTCATAATATAATTTCTCAGTTTTGGTCTAAAGCTAGTATTAATGCCCGTATGGCCCCAATAATCGGTATATTCGTGTACATTGTTATTAAACCAAAGCTTACAAACATATCTTCCTGTTCTACTATTTGTTGATCCATTAAGTTAATAAAATTCTAAGAATTCTTTATTAAAAATTTCCCAAAATCTAAGCTTTGGGTTAGTTGACCACAAATAAATCGTGATGCTTTATGCATCACACAACTCTTACTACTCACAATAAGGGCACATAAACTAAGCCATCGCAAGTCGGATTGATTACAGCTTTGTGCAAATAAGCAACGAAAGAGTAGAGGCCCTTGAAATTGGAATTTAAAGCAATATTTTTACTTAATATCTATCATATTGACATACACGGTCATTCCAGCAACGGATAGAACGGAGGGGCAATTTTTCTTAAAATGGCATCTATCAGAGAAATGAAAGACTGGTTCAAAGAAGCCCTGACTAGAAGGTTTCCTTCCGTTGGACTGGTGCTTATAGTTTAAAAGATCAAGGTACCATACGACCGACAAAGCACGGAAAGTTCTCTTCCTACAACTCGAGTAATGTTCACCTATTCTCACTTAGTAACTAGAGGAAAAGGAACTAGAAGGCTAGCATCTTGTCTTCGATAACGTATTCTAGATTGGCTGCTGCTTTGAAGAGATAAATAGATGAAGAGTAAAATCAAAACGTCATTGAAAAGAGCCAGTAATTAAGTATTATTTACATGCCTTCCCAAGTAGTAGGTCGGAACGTGTTGGGACAAGTTAGCCCAAGTTATGCTTCTATAGAGAACATAAGCTGGGCTTGACTGAAACTTTGGGAGATTAAGGCGCAACACGACTGATCTTTCTCCATTTTCTTTGTGCCTTTTTTGCATTGGTTCTAACATTAAACCAACTAATTGACATAAGGGCAACATTAGATGGATAAGAAGCCTCTAAACGTATCATAAATTCATTCAATCTCAACAATTCGCATAACAAGGCTGAGTTAATACTTTTCAGCAGTAGTTGGTGATGGCAATAAACAGATTTTTTATATAAGTTTAAATTATACTTGGATTCGATTTAAAAAGATATGCCATGCCACTTTAATCCTATTTCTTATTTCATTAGAGCTCCTATAATCGAGTTAAAGCATTGATCTAGATAAGAGACCCCAAGTTAATTAGCAATATGCTAAGTCGTCCAGCAGGCTACATAATAGATATTACTTATTGCATCCCTCAACTTATAGATTTGGAGACTTGTATTCAAATAATTATATGGCTTAATGATAAACAAACCAGTTATTAATTAATGCTCACAGACCTGAGTTCTGATTCCTATGATCCTATGTGAGAATGCACATTTGCTTCATATGTGAAATTCAGCTAGAAATTACAACATTTTGTATTGCAAAGTATCCTCAAATATATTATCAAATTTACATAGAGTAAATCTTCCTGTATAACCTTTGTACCTACCTCGACAAGGAAGTTTTCACCAAAGTAGAAAGCTCTCACAGTATCCAGGCGCTCAATAGCTGGATGATGGTTGAGACATACGAAGGAAATCTTCTGAATAAAAGAAGGCTCTGCCCGATACCCTGAGAGATGGCGAATATGGACTTGGCGAAGGAGTTCAAGTGAGGTTTTAGACAGCAGACAAAAAGAGGCAAGATTATAATCATTAAGCCAAATATTCTGAAGATTTATAAAGACCTAAATGCGCCTACGGGACCAAAGGGTTTCTACGATTAAAGGCCAGGAGGATGTCCAAGATTTTAACAATCTAGCCAAAAGGCAACGCGGTAGAAGTATGAGGATTATGGATCAATGAGATAATTATATAAAAAGATAGATAAAGCAAAAGCCATAGTGTTAAGATCTAGTCAAGGCAAAATAGGAGATCTAAAAGTGCAAGCAATGACATAAAAAACAATATGAGGGATAATGGGGTTAGTTATTGAAGATTTTAGAGAGAACAAGGGGTATAAGGTAGAGGGATGGTCTGACTCAAAAGGGTGCAATAAGTATACTAAGAATGGCCCCTCAAATTTACAAGCCATTTATATGCCTTATAAAGGCCTTCAAGGTCGGCTCAACAGCTAGGATAAGAGTAAATAACTGGTCGGATCTTTTCACGATGTCATTGCAATTCACCTAGTCTAGAACGCATCAGTATCTCCTGTGGTAATTGAATCCGAGTAGTATAGCGCATAGGTTAGAGGTCATGAGCCAAAGGCGCAAGTGGGTAGA